ATCTCGGAAGTCTGATTACCTCAGGTGTAAACGTTGTGGGGATGTCAAACGAAGGATAGCTATGGCGAAAGATGCATATTCTAAAATAAAAAACATCCTCACCGACAGCAAAATCAGAATATCAGTGCAAATATTTCCATTTTATATATCAAATGGTGACAATAACAACAACGTTGACAAGAAAAGCGTTTAAAAACAGACAGGCAAAAGACGACAGAACTTAATTCATAGTTATATATTTTCCACTTAGAAAACGCGCTGAATTTTGAACTTTAAAATAAAAAAAAATATCTTCATGGCGTTCAAAAATACCAAGTGGTGATTGTTTTTCAGCGAAGTGGCATCGAGTGTGTCGTCATTGCCGAAGTCAGTACTGAAAAATATCGGCGGAACAATACCGGTACTTAACAACTCTTCATTCTATATTAAATTAATTTATTTTATTAATTTATTAATTGATTAATTAACTAATTTCATACACGTGTGTATGTTGCTTCATATATCCTGTAAACGTAATTTAATTAGAAATTAATTTGGATACGGTTTTTCACACCAAAAAAATGAAACTCGTCAGCAGATGCCCGATGAATGTCCAGTTTTTTCTCATCCATCTTTTCAATTATCGAATGTAAATTTAATTTTATTCAAATTATTCTTAGTTTTTCATTTTTTTTCCATTCCGATCTTTGTACATTTCGAAGTGTGTGCATCTTCTTCTTATACATATGTAAGCGCTTGAACGTTGTCGTGCATACAATGGATGGATTTTGGACCGGGATGGTGTGATGATATTAAGATTTTTATGTTTCATGCATATCAAGTTGGGCACCTAAATTAATTAACAGTCTCCAAAGCTAATTGGATTTTGTTTGTTGCTCAGCTTTTTATTGTTCCTGTCGTTGTTCTTCGTGCTCTTTATGTCGATGTTGTTGTTGGTGTTCTTCTCAAATTTTTATAAATTTGTTGTCAGTTAAATATTTTATTAAAATATTAAAATTTCATGTTTGTTTTTTTTTAAATACGTTGTTGTTCATTATTTATAGTGATGAAGCCTTCGATGAGGTAGATATTTTTGTTCCTCTATTCTTGCGTGTGCATGTACAAGTGGAATAACTAAATTGCTTGCTGGGCATTTTAATTTGAAGGCATTAAAAATCGAACTGATAATTTTTTTTTTGAATATTTTAATTAACTCCACAAAAAGGCTTTTGAAATTCGATTTTTTCAAACAGGTATTGAGACTACGCAGAGGATGTTGCGAAGAAAATTTTGTATGTTCATAAAGTGCACGTTGTATTGTGATATCGTGTGTACGAACAACAGACATTAATTCGTAAATGTCGTTTGAGTTTATATGTATGATTGATAATTTAGCTTTCAAATATGAAAAACTGAATAAAATATTCATGAAAATACAATATGCATATATTTGTTTAGCATTATTATCACAAAAATTTTAGACAAACCTGAAGCATTTATAGTCGTAGCAATAACGATTTAAAATTAGGTAAACATAGAATACGACCATTAAACATTTAATAAAACGGAACGTTAACAACAACATTCCAACTGGTAAATTAAAACATGAACAACAATAACAACAACAACAATATATTATCAAATAGTTTTCAGTTTTAACCTCATTCTAGAGTTCAGCCGACAAAAACCATAAAAGTCCAACAACTGCATGATCTAAGAGCATTCAAAAACAACATCCATCAACACCAACAACAACATCAACATTAACTGACAAGATACCAAATGAAAATATACTGTTGTATCCTATCAGGTTTTTATTAGTTAAAAGTCCCTTCATATACTTGTATTTGAACTGACGTTTGTGCACAAACATTGTTAATTGTTAAGAATGTTGTAATTCTTTAAAATAAATTTGAGTATTTTATAAGTTGTTTGTAGTAACCGTCACAATCCTTTCAACGATTCTGACGATGTATTTCATTAAAATTGACTTGAAGACGAACGACTTAAAAGGATACGAAGAAGTCCCTTCATTTCGTGAAATTATCTTGATCTTGAGTAAAAAATAAACTTCATATAACCATAGTAAATTAAAATTTAAACTTTAAATTAGTTTGGAGGTTTATTTTAAAAATAAAATTTTCGAACGAAAAAAAACGAAAAAAATTACCTTTTTGCTCTCAACCAAAGCATAAAAGGGCATAAATAATGATTGAGATTTGCAGGGACTTTATCGAAACAGGTCATCTTGAGTCTGCTATAAAACAATTAGGAAGCAAGTAGCACTCTAATCTACCTACCTATTCACCTACCTACCTAATCTACCTACCTATTCACCTACCTACCTACCTACCTACCTACCTACCTACCTACCTACCTACCTACCTACCTACCTACCTTCCCATACCCACCCTATATAAGTTTAGAAAGTACATAACCCGCTAGTAAAAATGAAGTTATTTATATTTTAACTCTATTATTTCATCGTTCGTTTTGAATGTTTATGAAGTTTCAGTGACACTTTTTTTATTTATGACTATTTCTGATTAACAAATCTTGCCTATTTTGTATGGTCTCACATTTACAAACATAAATAGTTAGAAGAGTTATGACATAGAAGTCATTGACAAAGAGCCTAAATAGAATACAAAGAACGATAAAGTATGAATATAAAAAATGTTTGTGTTCATTTTGTTAAAAATTAAAAAAAAATGCAATGATGCCTGAACTGTAGATAGCAAACAAAATGAGCAGCAACAATGGCCACATTTGACGTTGGAAGTGGATATGTGACAGTTTGGTAACCACTTGCATGAAGCTGGAGATGAACGAACAATCGCTTTGATTGGCAGTTCAATAGATCAAAAATTTTCTTTGCCATTTTGTGGAACCGTTTTTCAGTTGTTGAGCAGTTTCAAATAATGGTGCTTCACGGTTATGTCTCGTGAGTGTAATTGCATTTTCGAATCTGCTGAAATTTTTTATGTTGGAATGATTGTAGTAACAGATTTTTTAACAGATTTTATTCATTTAAAATTTATTGTAAATGAAATCGTTTTAATTCTTTTTGATGCAAAACCTGTAGAAGTATCGAAATAAGAAGAAAATTGATAAGTTCATACGCGCATACTACCATACATCCCCACAGACAAAGACATACACCAATGCATGCATGGAACGCAGAGGTGTCATCCGTTCTGGTGCAATCATCCCTGCTTAGACGGCATTATTTAACAACACACGCAGCGTATAAATGATTAATTTTTTGTTTTCAATGTTTTATTCTTATTTCCTCCAATTTGAATAAATTTCTTCAAACTCACTGAATTTTCAAAGTATCTTATGATGACTACTTACCAACAAGAATAATAATAATAATAATAATAATAATAATAATAATACAAAGATGAAAATAAAATAATAATTTGATTGTCTAATTTTTTTAAGTAATAAAAATGACTTGTTTAGATGTTGTTGTTCGCATTTCCATATGAAACTGTTACTAAAAGTTTTTATAACTGAAAATTTTTTATTTAATCTAAAATCAATGATCTCATTTTGCAGACTTTCAACAATAAATTTTTCAAATTTGCAAAATCAAAATCTCAATCATTGGGTTGACCGAAATAAAAATAAATCTTGGATATTACTTGCTTAACAATCTGTGAAGTTCTTTAGCGACTGATCCATCGAAGAGTAAGTAAAGATTTTTATTTAAGTGTATTCTTGGGAATTTGGTTGGTTTAAGATATCACAAACATCAAATAAAATTCAACTTTTTTATAAAAATTGTCATTATATAATATCAATTATTAACATTTTACATTACAAAAAATGTCAATAAATTGTAAAAACCAAAAAAATAATCAGATACAACTTTCCAAGATGTTTACCATTTAAAACGAAGAAAAAAGTAAAATGTTTAGCTTTAGTGCACTAAAATTTTTACTGTTAAAATTCGTAAAACAGAAAAAATTATTTAAACTAGAATGAAACATAAAATTTTCAATTTTCACCAATATTTTTTAAGAGTAGGTGAAAAAACAACAACAAAACATTCGCAACAAAAAATATCCATAAACTACAATTCAGCGGAGCATAAAACATAATCAACAATGACATCATATCAAAATATAGTAACATGACAAACCACAATGACGACAACAACGACGTAACATTATAATCACTCAAAAACATCAACAACATCAACAACAACAACAACATGAACAACACAAATCTATTTACAACTACACACGTGTGAAAAATTTTCTCCTAAACTACGACAACTGTTTAGTAAAACAGCGATAATCAAATTCACATAGCAGCAGCAACAACAGCATCAAGAACAACAACAACATCAACAACAAATAACACCCAAATACAAAAAAAATATTAACTTCCCACATTACAACAACTAGACAAATATACACACAACAACAACAGCAACAAACACAACCAACAACAACGACAACCCAAACAACAACTACAACTACAACAACCACAGCAACAAAACGACAAATGCCACAGCCACACGAACAACATTAAACTACCAGGCTGTGCCACAAGTAGTATATTTAAAGCAATTACCAAACGACCAGTCGGCCATTTTGCATACACATAAGAATACATCATTACGGAGAATGAAAGATGAAGAAGAAGAAAAAGAGAGAGAAAAGGAGAGAGAGAGTGTAAGAGAGAGAGAGAGGAAAGATAATTAGCATTATAAACATCATTAGCGTTACGTAAGCATTCGACATTTTTAATTCAGCATCAGACTGAATGTTTGACTTGCTAGGCTAGTAGAGAAAATGTGATTATTTTTTACATTCTTTTTAATTAGTTTCGTTACCGTAATGATTTGAAATTCATTCATTGCACATTTGTAAGTAAGGAGACAGAATTTATGGTAACTCTTGAAAGCATTTTAAAATTAAATATACTTTAGTATCGTTATTATTGAAGTTATTTTTAACAAGAGTAAAATGACATTGATAAATAACAAGAATGATAAAAATTTTTAATTACTGCAACAATAGCAAGAGTTCGTTAGCTGAGGCGGTAGGAGCGCTATGTCTCGCGTTACTGTTGTAGCGCATTAGCCTGGTTCGAATGCCGTCTGTCCGAATGCAGAAGACTGTTTATACGTTTTGTGTGTAATGCGTTGTTTGCATTGATACACGTTGTACACCAATGCGTGTGTACAACATGTGCCGTGTGGTGGGATGCACACATCCACGGCCTTTGCGACACAAAAATTTAATTGTAACCAAGTAAGGAACGATGTTCGCACGATTCAGAGCTTTGTGTTAAAGTACATAGTACTACTAATACTACTACTTTTACTTCTAATTCTACTGCTACAACAACAACTACTACTACTACTAGAACTACTACTATTACCATAAATTCTGTCTCCGATTCAGAGCTTTGTGTTAAAGTACATAGTACTACTAATACTACTACTTTTACTTCTAATTCTACTGCTACAACAACAACTACTACTACTACTAGAACTACTACTAGAACTACTACTACCACTACCACTACTACTACTACCACTACTACTACTACTACTACTACTACTACTACTACTACTACTACTACTACTATCTCTACCACTACTACCAATACTACTTCCACCACTACTACCACTACTACTACTACCACTACTACTACTACTACTACTACTTTATTTAATGAATATACATTTACATTATTAAAAAATAAACAAACTTCTTGTGCTAGTACAACATTCATAGCCAATCTTCCATGCGGATGATGAAGATTTAACTTGAAAGAAGTCATACGTTTCCAGTCTATTCGTTTGATAGCAATCTATTGTCTAAATTTAAAGGATAAAAATTATGATAAAAATAATAGCAAAATTTTTATTTTTTAAAATTATAATTAATAGTAATAATATTTTTAATAGCAATTATACTAAAATTTTTAAGATGGAATCTTATTCGGTTTATTTTATTTTATATTTATACTCCGGCCAACTTTGCATTAGTCAAACAATTTTACCACCACCACCACTACTACTACTACTACTAATAATAATAATAATAATAATAATAATAATAGGGCTACATATTGACATTTGTTTCACAGGTGTTAATGCTAATAAAAATATTATTACTGCACCCCAATTACGTTCACTAATTTAAATAGTTGCTCCAAAATCGCTAAAAATACGCAACGATAATTAACAGCTCAAATACGACTCTTATTAATCGTTGTCATGTAGCGATCAACATTGTTGCCATGCTGCCATCAGCAGTGCTGCTATGTTGCCATCAAAATTTTTGCTATGTTGCGATCAACATTGTTGTCATGTTGCGATCAATATTGTTGCTATGTTGCGATCAATATTGTTGCCATGTTGCGATCAACATTGTTGCTATGTTGCCGTCAACATTGTTGTCATGTTGCCACCAACATTGTTGCCACGAACGTGAAGAAGCATCAACACAGGACGCGCAGTTGCGTCATTGTATTAAACTGCTGCTGTTCACGATAATCTCATCTTTTCCTAGTTTTCATTCTTTCTTTCTTTCACTCTTTCTATCTTAAAGATTTTGAAATTTTATTTCTTTTTTATTCATTTTATGAAGTTTATTTGAGCTATTGCTTATTTTTGTATGTGTGTCGTCTCTCTCCCTCTTTCTCTCTCTCTTTCCCTCATCAATGCTTTTTCTTCGTTCATTCAATTTTTTATTATAATTTTATTCGTTTTTGATACATTTTTAATGTTGTATACGCTATAAAATATCTTTCTTTCTCTCTCTCTCTCTATCTATCTCTTTTTCTCTCTCTCTCACTCTCTATCTCTTTCTATTTAATTTCCTACCATTATTTTTCATCTTTATACTTTAAATTCTCTATTACATTTATATTTTTTTATTCTCCGAAGAGCAGTTACACATTTTTCTAACTCTCTGCGGATCGAGTATTACGATAAACAACAACAACAACAACAACAACAACAACAGCAGCAACAACAACAACAACAAAAATCTAGCCATTTAAAAAGTAACTGTTTCTTTATATTAATAAAACAATATTAATAATAACAACAACAATAATAATAACAAATCTTATTCATATAAGTATTATTGTGATGCTGGTAATGTTGAAGTGGTATGGAGTAGGTTATTGTTGTACTGGAGGTAGTATTAATATTTCAGAAGTTAATAGTTGTTAGGGGAATCGAACTAACAATAATGTTATTTGTAGTAGTAACAATGAAGATTGAGCAGCTTAGACGCATTTTTGCCTATATTTTGACCTGAAATAAAATGGCCAGAATTTGTTAGACCATAAAAACTTTCAAAATGTAAAAAATTACTGATAATATTGGTAATGCTTGGAGTGATTAAACTTCATCACTGGCAGAGATTCAGTAGTAAGCTTGTTAGCCGATCGTCCAGTAAAACAACGCCATAGATAACATAAAAAACAACAAAATATATGAAAAGAGAATGTAAAGCCAAGACAATATAACCAAAATATATTCCAAATTTATAACAATTAAATTAATCTTAACATAATGGTGATATAAGAGACAGATGAAATATTGAAAAGATTGTAAGATATTAAAATGATGAATATACCATTGAAAAAGAATTAAATAATTATTTCATTTGTTCCTCCAAAGAAATTTAGCACCGATGCATTTTTAGCAAATTTGAAATAATTAATTGACTGTTAAGAAATTTGAAAAAAAGTCAGCTATTTCCAGACTTTGTAACAAAATAGCAATGAATTAAATCGATAGAAAACAAATGTTGGTGTCGGGGTTGAGAAATAGGCTGTTGCGGAACGGCTGATCTCACGATAACAGAGGTTGAAAATGTCACAGTGATACCAGTAGTTGTAGCAATAGTGGTAGTAGCAAGTATAGTAGCAGTAGTATTTTCAGTAGTATTTTCAGTAGATTTTGTTTGTTGTTGTTGTTGTTTATGCAATAAAAAAATGTAGTTGACTTTGAAAGAAGTTTTTGGAAAAAAGAACAACAAGACTGGTAGAGTTTATAGAGGTACCATTACTAACACTAACTGTAAATTTAGTAGTTGTTAGTTGTAGTAGAAATGAAGGTAGTAATTGTAGTAGGAAGTAGTTAACGCGGCAATGAGCGTCGGCTTTTATGGTGAAAAAATTTACAGTCCAGAAATTACTAAGATAATACAATGCAACTCACTTGCTTGTTGCCTGAAATGCCTTATCTTATTGGTTTATCTAACTTTTTTTTCTTATTTTATCTTTTTTATTTTTTTATTAAAAAACTTTGTAGTATAGTTTAATTTGTGCTTATTCTTAGAACTAACATATGCGTGTCAAGATACGTGGGTATTAGAGGTATCAACGAGATTAGTCTTATGTTTATTTTTTATATGGGATGAAAGCCGTATTAAACAGATTATGCCTGTATTAAATTTTAAATTTTGTCTGCATTCAAACGATTCAAGCAAATTTTTTTTTGTTTTTCGTTGTTCAATTTTTTCAGTATTTTTCTATCTTTGTTTTATTAGGCTTTTGAATTTTTATTTCGTAATTTAAGGTTGTGTTTTATATTTTTGCAGCGTCAAATTCGTCCCGCGCGCATATCTTTAATTCTATCTAGAAGCCAGAAGTTTCTTCCTTTCTAGCGTGTTTGCGTGTTTTTTCAGTCAAACGCAATCTGGTCTGCTTTCTTTTTTTTGTGGGTTTGGTTTTGTTCGCGTACATTTGCACGGTTATGTGTGTGTGCGTGTATCTGTGACTTTTTATTGTAGATGTGTTTTACGGTTGTATTAGCAGGGGTATTATTACACATTCGCATGTTTGCTGTTTGCTTGATAGCGTGTTTTTCAGGAATATTTTATTTTTTTGATTATCTGCAAGTTTGAATTATGAATGATTTTTATACGAGGTGCTGCTACTTTGTTTGGTCGTTAACATGCTGACTGTGTTATCGTTGGTTTCTTAATGCTTTCAGGTATTGCTGAGTAGTTAGTATTCTTTGGAAAATGGAAATGTAATTTGAATTTTAGTAATGAACATAACCCTACATAATACTTCATAAAGAAATAACTTTGAAAACAATTGCATTATTCTGTTTTCATTATTTTAAAACGTCTTACCGATTTTGCCAGCATGTACGTGTGTGTGTCTTTGTTTGTTTTAGCTTGGGCGAAATTTTGGAAAAATGTATGTGTACGTGCGTGCGTGAGTATGAGTTTGTTTATGTGGATGTGTGTGTACACATGTGTGCACAACAGAATTGTTGATCTTCAAAAAAAATAAGACGTTGCTGACAAGATTAATAGAGCGGCTGTGACGATCGCTTCGTTGATTTTCTTTCTTCGTTCGACTATCTGCATGATGTTTCGTGCTGCGTCTTTATATTTGTGAGCGCTCCTCTATATTACTACGTGTCATGGTGTGTTTTCATGTTTCTCTATCTGATATTTTGTCTTCGTTTGTCTTGGTAGTTATTTGTTTTAATGTCTCCGTACATTTAATTTTCTTCAGCCTGTACAAGAGGACATCATAAATTAATATTTGTTTGATTTCAGTTTAAGTACACAACGCCGAGGAAATTAAATGCCGAGGGAAACGTGTGCGGCAGACGATTGCACTGAGCACCACGAGTGCACGTGTGGATTTTTATAACTCTACATCGCCACATACAGACACGTTCAAATGTTGGCGCCAAATTTGATAATAATTTTTTGGATGATAAATTAATGGAGGGGCGAAAAATTGTTTAAAGTAATGGCAACATTTCATGTTGTGCAACTTTCCTATGGAGCTTGAGAGTAAGGCTCAACAATTTCATCCTAAAATTTGAGCGAAGTTTCAATGGAGATTTCTTGAACGTTGCTCAAAAATGTATTGAAAATTTTGAGGAGCGAAATTACATGATCGACCCCACTATCGACTTGAGACTTACGCAGACAAGACTTTCCAAATAATCGCAGTCGTCCTAATCCGCAATGTTCCAATCTGCACAAACATTTCAAAAACAAACAATCGTAATTTGCAATTTTAGTTTCAGGAATAAAGTTTAAAATAAGGAACACTGCGAGACAAGTTAGTGGAACATTCAAACGGTACTTTTAAAAATCCATAAAATCCAGATTGACATTTTCAGCCAATCCTGATTGCTTCAGTAATTAAAATTTGTAAAATTTTGTCTAAAGAAAAAATTAAATTTTTAAATGTACAAAAAATACAAAAAGTTATTTCTAAAAATTTTCATTAATTTTACGTTGTACAAGCAGTTTTATAAAAATTATGCGGCAACCTGCAAAATCCGCTGGGCTTTTGGAGTTTTCAGTTGCTCACTTTGGTTTGAAACGTATAGGTACACGTAAGTAAATGAACAAATAGGAATGTAATTTAATCACTGGATAACCGACATCACACTAAGGGTAGGAGGGCAGATTTTCGAATGATTTTTTGTTCATTTTAAAATACTTTCGTCGCGTCGTTAGTTGTTTGTACAAATAACACACACACACAAACACAAACAAACAAACACACACACACACGTGCACGTACACAGACAACCAGCATTGAATGAGTTCGTGTTCATGGATATAAATCATCGCATGAACGTCCCATGCTATGGAGAGGAATCAACAGTTGATGAAGGAGAGTAGTTTCACAAGAGTTTTAGTAGAGTACACATTTTTAAAATAAAAAAAAAATGAGTAAATTTTATTTCATTTGTATTGAGTACCAACGTTTTTGTTGTACTTTTACGTTCAACAGATTGAAAAAAAACTTTGTATAATGATAATAAACAAAACACCAATCGATAAATTTGAGTATATATATATATATTTAATAATTAATTTAATTTTTATAAGAAATTAGAAAAAAAAACTAAAAATTTCACAATTTTTTGTAATCTCGCAGTCAATTTCATTTTGAGATTCTCAATGATGTCGGCATGCCTACCCGCTACTTACTTATACAGTTGAACGACTTCAACTTTTTCATCGTAAAACTCGCCACGTAGGACTTGTTTTGTTATTAATTCTCTAGTTACTTTTTCTGCTTTATGGAACTTTCATCGTGCCGTTCATAAATAAACTTCAATCATGAAAACATTTTTCAGTTCAAATGCGCGTAGAATAATTCTGGTAGATGACGTTTGAAGAGACTTGTTTATATTTTAATTTCTGCGTTTTTCTATGAAATTTTATACTAATGAAATATTTTCTTTAAAATATTACGGATCAGAAGTTTTATTATTTTTGTTTTAATAACTAATAATTCATTTTTAATAAATTCTATAAAAACTGATATTGTTACCAATTACATCAAATGATTTTTTTTCATTCAGACTAAATTGTTTCATAGTCGTAGCTTATATACAATTGTATATTACTCCTATTTACCTCAAATCAATAGAATGCTGTGCCTAATGTATTTCAGTCTGGTAGCTTTCATGCATTGCTAATTTTTATCAGCACAAAATTTGTTCCTTCAATGAAATAGTTTTAGCTATTGTTACTAATGACCNGCTTTTTCAGAGGTTGGTGAATTTTTTCAGGATGTGAATGTTCCACACTGAGTCGTGTTTTTATTGCCCAGATACAAAACACATCACACCGTTCGCACGTTGGTAGTGGTGCAGCTGAAACGTAGTTGAGGATTTGAAAAATGAAAGAAATGCTGCAAAAAATTCAGTTGAATCAATGTTTTAGAAAATTTCAAGTTGATGTTTTAAAAAATTTCAAGTGTTTAAAAATTAATAAAAATTTACAAAACCATGCACGCTTTTGTGAAAACATAAATTCAAATGAGTTGAATGGTTTGGCGCAGGCAACATGATTGAGAACAGTTAACAGTCGAACAAGCATCGCCACAGAACAAATTGAGTAACTTCACTATATTAAAAGATTTATTCTTTGACGTAATTATTAATAGCAAAAGATTTCTAAAAAAGATTGAAAGAAATTTTTGTTTAGCAACAATTAGTTTTGTTAAAATTTCAATAGGTAAAACAAATGAAGTCACCTCATTCAAAAGT